GACCATGGCTACGAACTAGGGCGGAAGAAGTGATTGAGCTCTGAATTGCTCGACATACAGGAAGTTTATGTTCGTACAAATATTCTAATAGAGCCACTTCTAATTCGATGCTTTCGGATCGTTTATCGTTTGGATCTGGTGTCACTCGTAGAACGAAACGTTCACCGGTACCATTATTGACGAGAAATGTATGATTTTGTGAAGCTTTGACACATTCACCTAGTTCAACATTCCAATGATCGCGAGCAAGTTGACGAACTTGTTCAACATCAATAGGTATAGTTTCAAAAAGAGGTATGTTTCTTTTTTATCTGATAAAAAAATAACAAAAACACATGTGTCATTGAAAGAATATGCCTCTTCAAACATATAAAAAACAAAATGAAACATTCTTATCTTCTGTATATATATATATCGAGAAGCAGGACGAGAAAGAATATAGATGAATGTGCAGGGCGACATCACGTTGCCCTAACAATATATATATATATATATATATATATATATATATGACACACGAGAGCGCCATCTTTTAAGACAAGTATAGTTTATATTTATATCCAATTTTCAACCAGTAAAAACATTGTTCTTTTTAAAAACGTTCAATCTATAAATCAGGCGCGGAATAATTGATCATTAACTATATCTATTTACTCAGATCAAGATTATTTTTATCTTATGTTGAAACGTCAAATTTTTCGATTCAATGGAACAACAAAAGAACCCTCGTTGACGTTTATCTATCAAAATAAACATAAGAGAAAATTCCAGTAAAAGACATGATGCTTCATATTCGTGATACTCTTTATACTTTTTTCTAAACATTTTATTCTATTCTAACTTACATTTATATGTTGAGAGAGAACTACAGAAGAGATAAGTGTGGATGTAAATGAAGATTAAATACAACATTTATATACGCACGCACATATACTTTGGAAATTTTACTAAAGCTTTCATCTTGTTATTTATCGACATGACATAATATTACATTTATCACTCTCTTGTTGCTTCGACAGTCGACTTTTGTGTTTCATCTTATGCACAAGATTTTCTTTCTTTCATTCCTTCACTTAGGCAAACATTAATATTGATATAATCAATTGAATAAAATATATGCTACAGATTACTTGTATCTCAAGATAAATATCAACATACTTATGATCACTAATGCCAAATAAATGTATGATATAGATGTCGGATATACGACGAATTCTATTTTCTAAAGCCAAATGATGAGACTGCACGTTATTATACAATTAATCATATCATTGGTGATAGTTGAGAATTGTAATAGTATTTCGAGTCCTCTGTCAACTTTCACCACATACAAACATGCAATTGAACTTCAAGCGAATAGAGCTGATCTATGGTGGACAATGAATGACAATAATCAAGAGATTACGTTCGAGCTTCACATTAAAACAACAGGCTGGATCGCGTTAGGCATTAGTCCAGCAGGTGGCATGAAAGGTGCTGATATTGGGGTGGGGTGGGTTGATCAGACTGGCCGTGTGCACTTTCAAGTAATAAGAATTCGTTTATTTCACATTGCATGATCTACATGTTTATCTTCTTCAGGATCGTTATGCCTACGCTAATTCTCGACCTATTATTGATAATACAACGACTGATTGGTATGCTCTTCGTGGGCGTGAAGCGAATGGCTGGACAGCCATTCAATTCAAACGACTACTAGATACTTGTGACACCATGGATGTTGAAATCAAAGTAATCAATTCATTATCTACATATATGCAAAGAAGTTTTTATAGCATTAGAATTGTTTTACATTTAGTCTGGAACTAATATTCTCATATATGCTTATGGTCTCGTCGATCCTGATGGTGATATCAGCTATCATGAGAATCGACGCGGTTCACGGATGATTCCACTTCGATCCTACGCTAATCCAACATCAGAAGACAAGTTTGATAAACTTGAACATTTCGAGTTTCGTTTACATAATGTAAGTCTTTTTCAATCAACTTCTAAATGCAGCATTTGTTTGTTGATTCTGTTTCAGTACGTCGTTCCACCAACCGATACCACTTATTATTGCAAAGTATACAAAGCTGCCAACGGTTTTCCAGGGAAAAGACATGCGATCGCAGTATATACCATTTCTCTATAGCACTTCTATAATCTTCGTCTCATTTAAATAGCACAAAACGTTGGTCGATTCTGCTAATAGGGATCTTGTTCATCATTTAGTTTTGTATGAATGTGATTCGTCAGCTAAATTTGATGATAACAAGTTGCCCGAAGGCGTGTGTGATGAATTTTATGGTCAAGCGCCACTGTGTTCATCTAATATTGCTATTGCATGGGCTGTCGGTGGCGATGAGGTAAGATTTCGAATAAAACAAAAAAGAACTACCAGTAAGAGGAATTTTTCAAAATAGATAGTCGAGTTTCCTAAAGAAGCTGGATATCCAGTTGGGGACGAATTTCCCATTAAATATTATATGCTTCAAATGCATTATGACAACTCAAACCTAACTGCAAGTAGGAGACAATATCTGTTTTAAATTAACATAAATTTACTTTCAACTCTGCATTAAGATCGTACTGACAGTTCAGGTATTCGCTTTTATATTGGCAAGGAACTTCGTCAATATGATATTGGATATTTGACTTTGGGAACCGAACCGGATGCAGTAGCCCTTGCCATTCCACCGAAAGTTGATCGCTTTATCGTTGATACGTACTGTCCGGCGGAAGCCACACGGGTGAGAATGAGCGTTTCTTTTGTGTAAGTTTGATTATTGTAGTCGTCATTATAGAATTTTCCTGCATCAGGCATTATGGTTGTATCTGCTTTTCCACACACACATTTACAAGGTAGATATATATAACCGATTGATCGAAGACTACAATTAATTTTATAGGTCTAAGTGTAAGGACAAAATTGATTCGAAATAAAGCAGTTGTGCAAGATTTGTTCAATGCCGAAGCGTATGATTTCAATTATCAGTTTGTGAATCAATTACCAACCCCAATCAAATTGTATCCAGTAAGATCTTAAAAAGTCATTATTGTTCTTTTCTACAAGGATAATTATTTATTATAGGGTGATGAATTTGCTACTCGATGTGTGTATAATACAATGAACAAGAATGAAATTACTTTGGGTGGTGAACGAACGAAAGATGAAATGTGTTCTCATATGTTTGCCTATTATCCTCGAATGAACAATTTCTATGGTTGCTACATGTCGAATTCTGTCGAAGCATGGAAAACAATGATGAATAGTTCCTCGTAAGTTCATTCAGATGTTTGTTTCATCGACGTTCTTCCATTTGATTGTGTTTGTTTAGAACAAATTTTGATGAAGATAAATTCAAAGATTGGCTTCTCAATCAGAAATGGACGCCGGAAAGAGTTATTCAGTGGCAAAACTTTTACAATAATGCGTCGCGTAAACTCATGTATGGTGAAGCAGCTAATTTACAATTTGAAAATTTTGCCGGCTTACCCACATATAAAGATCTGACACCAGAAAAATGTAGAAAGAATTCAGCGATTCGGGAACACGCATTCGTTCTTCTCATTTTGATGCCGATCGTGATGAAAACAATAGGCTCTAAATAAATAATTTCAATCGCAAATTCATATAATCCACTTTTTATGTCTTCGCAAAATGTTAATAAAAATAAAATCAATGTTTTCTTGAAGATATAGGAAGTATGACTAAATCTTAGATAATAGTAGAGGATAACCAGTGGTCCAAGTAGAAATTTTATTCATCTTTGTATGTCATATATTATATGACAATTGAAAATTGATCGTAGACAGTTCTTTTATGCTCAAGTAAATACTCATAATGAAGACGTCGATGTGTTTGATCCACTGTGACAGTAACTTGGTAATGGTTGAGGGTTTATCCATTTATCATTATCGAATGCTCCACCAAGTTCCTTGGACTATAATGACAGGTGAACGAACGTTTATATATGTATTGTTAGTGATAGTTGTTGTATTATCAAAGAATATTCGTTCATAGACATGTATATGACCTGTAATAATCAATTGTACTTGATATTTAACGAATAGTGGATAAACTGTTTTAAACAAAGTTGAATTTGGGAGATGTTGTCTAAAGTAGAACGTATTAAATATAGTTATGAATAAATATCTTTTACGTACTGAAGTTCAGATCCATCTGAACATAATAAAGGTCTATGTGTAACAACGATAATGAACGGTTGTTGAGCACGACTTTCATTGGCTTTGATAAGATCATTGACAAGCCGGGTTATAGGAAGTTGGCCAATATACATATTGGACATTCGCCAATTGGCGAATTTCCATAGGAATTACGCCAATAAATACTCTTAGTAGTTGGTGATCAAAGAATGACAGAGTTATTGGTCATGAATAGTGAGGTGACAGACGTTCTAAGAAATTTGTTGGAAATGATGTAATCAGAGTTTTTGTTTGCACTTTTAGATCTATTAATAAAATTTCTTTTCAAGTATTTATTATTGATAAAATGCCTGTTACTACTCGTGCAGTAGCATCAAAAGCTCAAGTTAATGCTGATTTAACTCATTCACAAGATGAAACAGCGTCAACTTCAACAAAAAATAAAAAAGCAAAACAAAAGCGTATTTCAAAGAAAGGAAGCAAACAAAGTCAGGTACAATCCAAAACATCTTGTGCTGAACTTGAGGTTAATCTTTTATCGGAAAAATCATCAACAGCGTCAGGTGCTGTACTTACACTCGCAGATATTTGTGAGCAATCTCATGAAGTCTTGGTGCAACAGGAAATCGATGCAGCAATTCAACCATGCACATCACCAAAAACAACTCCAATTTCTCACTCAACATCTCCATCAAAAGACGATGATAACCATTCTATCATATCATCAAAATTATTAGACAACGACGAACATGATTTTATGCATGTACCGATCACTGGTGGAGATATAACAACTGGTTTATCGACGCGTGGTGGCAAAATGGTTTTTATAAATGGCTTCGCATATTCGTACATGGGTATGTCAAAAAAGACAACAGGTTGGCGATGTGCTCGACGAAAAGAGAATTGCAAAGCTGTTATTCATATTTCGAAAGAAACAGGAAAAATTCAAGAATGGAATGGTGTGTATCATTGCCACCAACCTGATCAACGTGAAGATCGAGAACGTGAAATATTAAACAAAATAAAACAACGTGTTCTTGATGAAAATCGATCAATTAAGATGATAATCGAAGAGGAATATAGATAGGCTAATCTATTAGATGAAGAAAAACGAGCAATGCCTCTTCCATGTCAAATAGGTAAGTAAAATCACTTTGAACATGTAGTTCTATTGTCCAATTTTCTCTTTTTAGAATCAGGTTTACAAAAGTTAATAAGAAAACCATTGCCACCACCGCCACAAAACCAAAAATTCAATTTACCGTCAGTTTATCAAGAGGCCTATTCACATCAGAAGTTTCTCATTTATGATAAACGCAAAACAATTTATGGTGGTCGTCTTATGATCTTCGCTTCTGAAGAACAATTGAATGTTCCATATCATTTGGATGTTCTATTTGCCGAGGGTACTTCCAAAGCATCACCAAAATTGTTTGATTAGTTAGATGTATTACATGGTATGCAAGATGGTGAAGGTACGAATTTCCTTTTTTTTTATTACAATTAATAGTTTGATTAGAAGAGAGAACAGAAAGAAAATGATAAAGAAATGAATTATCGCAATATGTACATGAGTTTATGCAGACAGAAAGAAAAAAGAAAATACACATCGACAAGACGTGCAATATAAGAGGAGGAGAGAGATGTTCGTTCTACATATATTAATATGTCTATTATAAATGAAATGTTTCTTTTATTTTATCTTTCATATTTTTAGCCATTCCTGTTTGTTTTATACTGACATCGAACAGAAAACAAGAGACGTACGAGGCTATCTTTCGTTGTTTGAAAAGAATTGGTGATAAAAAAGGTATTGATTTGCATCTAAATACAATTGTTTGTGATTTCGAGAGAGCATTCATGAATGCTGTTCAGGCATAGGTATGTAGTTTATATACTGTATTTTCTTACATTTGAAAACATATAATCCTTTATATTTATCTGTTTTTTAATTATCTGATACAAATATAACCGCACGTTGGTTTCATATGTGTCAGTCGTGTTATCGTCATATCCAAGAAATAGATTTAATGAAAATTTATGAAAATGATCCCGATATACGGAATTTACTACGTGTATTTATGGGATTGGCTCTTCTTCCTGTCGAATATATACATGATGAATCTAAATTGCTAAAGAAGAAAGTTCGAGAATCATCTGAAGCAGACATGATGAAGATCTTTTTCCATTATTTTGGAAAACATTGGATGGAAAACTTCGAGCCAGAGCTATGGTCGATATCTGATAGTAACTGGAGAACAAACAATTTTGCTGAAGGTATGATAAGACCGTCCTAATAGCTGCATAGGTTTGAGTCTTTTATGTTTTTATGTTGTACTTGTAGCGCAAAATCGACGTTTTTTTCTCGAGTTGTTCAGTCTCATCCTAATTTATGGAAATTTATTCAATGCTTAAAACAAGAAGAAAGTGTAATTTCTCATCGAATGGTTCATCTTGATCTTGGATTTTCGTCGAAGAAGTCAACCAAAACTACTCAAGCAGCAGAACGCAAAAGTAGACAAAAAAACCATTATTAAATTTATTACGTTCAAAACAAAAGTCTCTTGATTCAATATTAACATCGTTCTCTTATCTCGTTGGTGAACCGATATCTCAAGGAAAAAAAGGGAAGAAAAAGAAAAACATTGTATCAGCATCAAATTCTTCAGATTCAATATCTAATACGTCACCAATTGGTGAATAAACGATCATTTGCTGTTCTACTTATATTATTCAAGCATTATATTTTCGTTTCATTTTCTTGCTATTCTATTTCCATTAACGTTTCATATTATTGCACATAACTTTTTCCAGCTTACCATCCACCGTAAAAATCTGATAGGATCATATCCGAACGGTTTCTGACTAAGCAGGTTCTCATACATGTATGCAATGTAAAACATAACTTCCATGCACTAACATTTTACGAATGTCCATTGTACTTTCAACAATATATTTTACGGATTTTCGCCAATAATTGGTGAAAGTCACAATTGGCGAACTTCAGCATTCCCTTTAGAACAATGTAGACAGACTATAGTCATTTTATTTAGATGATTCTTCAATTTGCTTCATGAGCTTATGATATAAGAGTTTAATCGGCCAACTAAGATTCATGTGGATAGATGGATGAACAATCGAAATATATGTATTGTTCTATTCCAGTGCCTGTGTTTAATTCGATTCAACATCCGTGTCTGAAATTAATTATATTGAACACATCGGTTAACGATTGTCTAGAAGAAACAGTTGATTTATCTTCACCACATATTATAAAAATAGCATCTAATATACATGCAATTAGTGTTTACACATCTTTGCAATGCTTTGAAAAAGGTGGTAAGAAAAATGAAAATGTTTTCACTATTATAACAAATGTAGCCATTATTAAAACACGTTGTAATAGTTTTATTTCTTGTGGTACGCTTGATTTTCCATGTTTAGGTGGTGTTTGTGATAGAGTTGAAAGCTGTATATTTATTTTTAATGCTAGTTATGAACATATACACGTATATATAGAATTGATTAGTCAGTAAATCCTGTTGAAGTCCAAATTGGAAATTTAAAAGAGATTCTGGATATCTCGTCCTAAATCAATGCAGCACTTGAACAAAAAAAACACATAGAAAATGCTCACTTAGAATTTCAATCTAACATTCATCGTACGATTAAAAAAAAAATATGGCCGAAAACTTTAATAGCCGTTTTAATTTTTATTCTTATTGTAGTTATTTCGGTTGTCATTTTTGTGTCTAAACTCTTTTTACAGAAAATTGATCGATTGTTTAATTAGTATAAGTTGTAAAAAAGAACTTTTCACGATCGTAATTCTTCAAATGATATGGAAGTTGGTGTTAGATCTGCCGCGAAGAATAATACATTGTACGATAATGTACATCAGTCTTTCTTAGGTCAAAGTGCTTCTAATAAATTCATGCGTCATTCGTTAAACATAAATAATCCTACTATTGAACTGGAGTCTCTTAGTTCAAAGAAAATACTTGAATCTTTACCTTTAGAAATATTAATTGATTCACCAAATGTTTTGTCGACCAATAATTCATATAGAAAACCTTTTTCTCCACTAACAAAAAGATATGATTACGTCAGAGATTCGTTTGATTTGTCATCAGATCATTCGAGCATAACATCGGTAGAATTTTTCGAAGAAGATCATGAAAGCATTATCTAAAATTACTATATCATTTTTTTGAGACTTCTGAAAATCAACCGTTTTATTCAATTTCTTTTTCGCACGCAATGTACCAGTCTATCGTATAGTAGATAGAATCATTTTTTTGTCTTCGTAGTTGTACCTAGAATTGTGACTGTCAAGTAATTAACAAGACTGAACTGTTTCAATACAATACAAAAAATACAGATTCAATTTTTTATTATTATTATTCATTGTTTCAATTGAATCCATACTGTATTAATCTTCAATCAATCATACAGAAAAACCAGTTACCGATCAACAAATTCATTATTATAGATGTTTTTATACAATCGTTTTACACAATTCATCTATTTCGATACTTATTAAGACTAAAATTAGTAGAATTGATTTTGTTGTGTTTTCATCATCTAGACGCACTTCTTACATTATTCAATAGATTTTTTGTGTTAATGTTATGTCTTTTACTGTCTTTTCTTTTTTTAATCATGTTTCGTCTATCACTTCATGCTATAATAAAGAATAATCAAGAGTTGTTTTCATGGAAAATAGCTGACAAATAATTTTATATTTTTCTCTATATGAATCCATCCATTCGGAAAATTAAAATAGAATATAAGAGAAAACAAAAGACTTTCTTTTTATTTTCAATGTTTAATAGTAACGTAATTCCACTAATAATATTGAAAACAGAGGAAGAAAACACGAAATTATAGTGAAACGTTACTATTGTTTTTTCTTTCATTCGAATCATCAAATTTGCTCTTATTTGATTTTCTCATATAATTATCTATTAAGGGTGAGGGTGTGTGTATCGTCACGAAAAATCTCATAGAAATACTCGACAAAAACAATGTGGATATGGATCAATTTGAACCTCAATGAAGAAGAAAAGTACGCAATCTTAAGGCTTCTATTAGATTTCATGAGATTCCAGAACTTCAGAATTCCGTACTTTTCTCCTTATCTCATTCTCACACCTTCAAGAGAGACTTTATCTTCAGAATGTATGTGTAAATTAGCTGTAAGTTGTTATTTGGAGTCATTTACTAGTGTTCAAATAACAAATGTAGATTTCATTATTTTGACAATAGTTCTTGATCAATTCTTCACTTTCTGGATTAATTTATTCTCGTAAAAAATATAAGAGACAAAAGTGTAGAGTCAGCTGGGGTAATTCGGATCAAAATGGTAGTGATTGAAAATGTTTTGATTCGTTCTTCGTTGTTAGTTGTGATAGAAAGCTGACTTCGGTATCGTGACTAGAACAGAACATGCTCTATCAACTGGCGAAACGATCTCCCCAATAGCACTTACCAGAAAAAAGTATTGATCAAAATACTAAAGAGGTGCAAAAAGTGATCCGATTTACCCTAGTTTGGACAATTCGGATCACTTATGTAAACTACTTGGTGTAATTCGGATCATTCCAGCAGAAATGAGAATAAATTATTTCCCCAACTCATGATGCAATTTTTTCTCATGCTTTTAACCGCAAAAATGGTACCATTGGAGAGCGCATGGTCTCTTCTATGGGACCTGAGAATATCAAGTCGAACTGATGAGATACAGAAGCATAGTGATCATCACGATGTCAGCCGTTGAAAACACCATTTTTTTCGAGAAAGCCAACTTGGGGTAATTCGGATCACCAATGCAATCTATCTGGGGTAATTCGGATCACTCATGCAATCTATCTGGGGTAATTCGGATCACTCATGCAATCTATCTGGGGTAATTCGGATCATCCCAGCTATGTTAGCTAGAGAGAAACTAGCAAATCTTATAGCATCTTTGCAATCAAAGATTGACTACTACTCGTCTTAGAGGAGCTATTCAGCTCATCGAACTCTATCTCCTCACGAAAGATGACGAATCCTCACATGAGATAAATGTGAAACTTTTCAGTTTCATCCAAAAGCTCCTAAAAAGTGATTTCTTTCGCATCCATATATTTCTCGTATCGAGCGAACTGTAACTAACCATACGGTTCAAATCAACAAAATTTTTTGTATACGCTGTGCAGCAACGTTCACCCTAAATAATGCTATAGATAGATGACAATGTCGGTGCTTATCATAGAGCAGCAATCTTCACTTATGCGCAACTATCTTGAGAATTATTGAGCTATAGAAATTGAGTTGTCGTTGTATATGAATAAAAATGATAAGAATAAACAACAAAGTCACGCTGCACAATTGAATAAATACACTACTTCATATATACAAAATGTGATAAATGAGCACCGAAAAAAAATTGGTTTCTATGAGAATGAAGTTGCGTAATGTACAAAGTAGTATAGACGTAAAAGGACAAGACAGCAGTGAGATAAATATGTTGCGGTCGCTGTAAAATGTTTTTGTGACACTAATTCATGATAATTTGAAAGTTTCGAACGGTAAAATCATTACTTTTCGAGGATGAATGTACTTGGAGTATTTTGAAAGAGAAGGGAAAGAATTCTTTAAAGTAGAATAAGTAGATGCCAAAGTTTTGAAGTAAGTACTAGTGTACAATATTATGTGCTTTACAAAATTCGAATTTATCCGTCGATTTTCAAATAGGAATAAGTTTGATCATAAATATGTCATGGATAACTGCAGAGAAGGTAGAACGGATCACGGTATATCACACCGGTACACCTAGAAAGACTTAAAACATACTATCGTTGAAAGGGAGCGAGGTAAATGTAACAGGCTTACATTCTTGTGCATATAATGCATGAAAACATTGAGAAATACTTGACGAAGACGAGTAGGTAAGTGATAAATTAAACGATGATTCAGAAAAAAGGCACTGCTTATGATAATGTATCAGACGAATCTAAATGTATGAAATAACGTTTTGTTAAAGACAAATACTCAAGCTATTCTTCGTCTATCAACATTGTCCAACTGCTAGCATATTTTGTGATACCTAGTTAAACATACCGTTTGTTGTCTTAGCACGATATTGTCCTCAACTGGATTTTCGATAAGTTCGACGTGGTTTTTTCTCATCCTTTTTTCTACGCTGTTCCTCAAGTTGCTGAATGACATCGTTCTCTGTCATAATCCTTCCATCTGTTCGTTTTAGCATCGTTCTTTTCGTAGAGTTAGTTGCTTGTGTTTGCGAAGTTGAGCCAAAAACTACTTTCAGTGTATTTTGTATAGCTGTATGCGGATCCGGTGACTTGTCAGATGGCACGTCTGCTAAAATATTATCAGAATATTACTTTTAGTGTACTAATAGAACAATGGTTCAACCTACCATCTTCTTCGCAAGAATTGAAGCCCATAATATCGAATGAAACTCGTTTCCGTTTTCTTTTGGATGTTGCCGATAAAGATTGTCTCTTTTCTTTCGATGTTTTGGTGGTGTTTCTTACAGATTTTTGAGCAGTGTTATTGGAGGAAACTATTGAGTCTTGATACGATACGTCCATATGAAAATCTTATATACAGAAACCAGGTTTTGTGTTTGTATCTCAGTCCTTAGGATTACCTTCGTCACTCGAGTCAGTACGCGTGGTTCTTGACGATGATCTCCTCCGTTTTGCGCGTGCTTTTGATGATGATGATGAGTGAGGAACGTAGCTTTCATCACTATCGTTGTCTTCAGCGTCGTCTTCGTCATCATCTTCATCACGAACATCCTTGTCACCGGCGTCATCTTCTTCACCATCGTCTCCTTCGTCACCGGCTTCATCTTCTTCACCATCGACGTAATTAGCGTGGACATTCATATCCACCGTGTCACGTCCACGAGAATTACTTTGTAATGCTGTGATATCAAGTATTTGACTCAGAGTAGCAATTGCATTCTGTGACGTTCCAAAAGAAGACGAGTCATATTGATCCGAATTCGACGTATCAGCTGGTACTGGAGGTAGTATGACCGGCTGAACACTGTTGAATAATGGTGTAGCTGTCGTGTTATTCCCATTCGTACCAATTGATGATGACAGCGTATTAACAGAGGCGTTTGATTGTAAAATACGTGAATTATCAATAGCATGACGATTCAATGGAAATACACCCGAAGTAATAAATGATTTAACGATATTTATTTTTCCAGTAATAGCATTGGTTGTCCACAGCTCACTCAGCAAAGCTGGAAATCTGTTTTTGTTGATGTTTTTATTTTGCGTTCGATCATATTCCTTTCTCAATACTCTAAAAAAGTGATAGTACCCATTTATGAAGTATAATTTTTATCCAGTAAGCTAGTAAATTTTGCCGATTGGAGAGAAGAAGGTTTATTTGAGTTTCTCATGCTACGGTATGAGATTTTGAAGTTTCAGATTCTTTCAGTCTTATGAAGCATGTGCAGGATAAAAGACTCAATAATTTTCTTTCTGTTCTTCGGATATCGAAACATATGATTTCTGATAATCAATCAGTTCATCGAAGATTCGAAAACTTCATCAATTTCCAGTGCTTCATGTACTACTCTCAAAGTTAAGTAGATCCTTTTCAAGAACGACAATAGTAAATGTAATTTGTCGAAAATACCTACGTTTTCCAGTTCAGTTTCAATGTATTAAAAAACACCAGGTCCAAAGGTTGTAAGATATGAGTTGCATTCGATGGTAGACATAGAATTATACTAAAAATATTTGAATCCCTTCTTATCCAATTCTTGAGAGTGTTATGATTGGGGCATAAATAAGCCTTTTGACTACTTACACTTCATGCTGGACAGCCAGTCTCAATGTTTCGACTTTGAAATGACTGCTCAAACCATCAGCAATTAAAACCAATGGACGAGGCAAATCTTTCGTATGTTTCAAAAAGATTTGATCAAACCATTCGTAGAACAACTGATGATTGATCCAACCACTAGAAAGCAGAAATAATTCAGTTAAACTAAGTGTAATGTGTTGAACGACACGTAATGATAGTTAATCAGATCATACTCTTAGACTTTCTTGTCGATTTGTTTTGAAACTCTTCATTAGTACATCGATAGAGTTTAGGCATAAAAACTTACTTGTCAGAATTGCTGTAACCAGTATCAGTAGGTCCACCAGTACACCATTCTTGGAACAGCCGTTTCGATTTGTAAATAACAAACGGAGGCAAGAGAAAACCAGTTGCTGAGGCGCAGAACATAACGCTTGTGTATGATTTTCCATCAGTGCCACCTTGAGTTCGATAGGCATTAGATGTTCGTCGACGAACTAGCACTTTCGAATAACTGATACGATCGGACAAACCTGAGATAATTCAAAGATAGCGTAGGTACTGAAAAGATACATTCGAATATTTGGAACGATGTTTTACCTGTCTCATCGCAGTTGAATATTTGTCCTGGACGATTTAATAAGTCGTTCTCACGAATAACTCTGGACAATATGTCAAACCAAGCATCTACTTGTACCATTGTAACTGATGCTCGTTTTTTCTCTAATGGACGTGACTTTTTCAAAATGAGATTTTTGTGTCGATGCAAAAAAGAACGAAACCAGTCGTACGATGGCGTTCCTGATGAAAATAAGTGACTTTTATTGAGAGAAGCGGCGTATTCCTTGGCCATTTCGAGAAATTCATCAATCATCAAAGGTCGTCCCCAATTCTTCGGAAGTAAAATGTCATAAATATTCGTGATTAGAAAGAATTTTACCTGTAAAGCGAGAGCCGCTTCTTCTAAATACTTCTCTTCCAGTTCACTAAACTTTGTTGGTCGACCGGGTTCATCATATAATACGAAATAATTGACATGTGAGTTTAACGTAGTATAAGGAACGTGATAGTTATTTGCAGCATCTCGTATAGACGATCCATTTCTTACTGCCTCGATAACCTGCTGTAAATCATTGTTGTCGTACTGTTTCGTAGTGCTTTTCTTTATATACTTTCGTGTCATTTCAAGAAAATCGTTTTTAGATGATAATCATTGACAAACAATGAATGATCTTAGATGAATACAATTGTTCCAGTTAACGGTCATATGTATATATATGTCGATCAGTACGAACAGAACGAAAAATAAATGCGGAAACATCGGATTCAAATCCGAGTGTTATGTGTACTTCAAAAAGTTGCAAACTATATTCATCTCTGCATTTTATTTTTTTCAAGATCCGTTCATGATTATACCATTTCATGACAACTTTGTGTTTTGTTTGATTAAATAAATCCAATGAAATCGATATTGATAATAATATCTCTATCAGTTATGAATAAATAAAACATTTTGATTTGTTCGATCAAAATCAGAATTAATCTCTTGCTGACAATGATATGGAATTGATCATAGCAGTGACTTGTATTCCTGCTCGTTTAATTTTGTTTGGTCTTATCAATTATCGATAGTTTCGTTTTGTCTTACCAATTATTGATAAATTCGTTTGGTCTTATCAGTTATCGATCATTATGGCAATGAACGAAGCAAATTCACCGGTTGATGAATCCGTTTTCCTCGACGACAATGATGATGGAATTAGTGTTCACAGCAGTCGAACGACTACTCATCTGAAACGCAATGTTGAGCGACCGGATAATAACAATGGTTATTTTCTTGTTGGTAGGAAATTTTATTTTAAAAACTAAAACAAATATCTTTATTATTAGAAAAAGGTGCCAAAGGTGTTTTCGTCACGGTTAATCGGCTGAAACATTTCGGTTTTATAAAACGGTAATTAGTATTCTTTTTTTGCTATTTAATTTTTTCATTCTTTTTTTAGTAAGAATCAACCTTCTTGGCCTGATGTTTTTGCGCGAGAAGCTTCACTGAACGATCGGGTCCATCCAAAGAAGTTCTTTGTAGGTGATACCTGCAAATTCGATATCATAAAGAGTGAGTTGTTGAGTTATAGTCATAACATAAACAAATGATCTCTCTTTCTCTTATAGCTTCGCGGGGCTACGAAGCCATTGATATTGATATTACTGAAAGAAATATCAATTCAATTAGCAAGTTGGGAAAAATTCCGAAGAAAAAAGAAACAAACCAAAACCAAACGGAAGTGTCTGGTGAATTATTCCAGTCAACATTGTAAGTATTATTAATTTATTCTTAATTTGACATGAATTAAGTTGCATTCCATTCCAGGGCAATGCTTTTCCGTGAAGCTCTGAACAAAAAATAAACTTAGTCATTCGTCAATTGATTTCTAACAACTGCACAATCAATACGGCATTGATTAAGATTTCAACAGCGAAAAGAAAAGACTTTTTTTTGATCTTGTATTAAAAAAAAGATTGTAAAAATCGGTTTTTCTTTTACCAAATAAAATAGTCAATGAAAAGCAAAACAAACTATTTATTTTTTCGTACAAATATTTATCTGTTTTACTTTCATTCATAAATTTGATGAAAGAAGATCTTTCCAAAACAAATGAGGTGTGGATTGAACAATTAGTTCCCTTTCTCAATAAAATTGTTTGTGTTCAAAAGTGGCAATCATTTATTTGTTTTGCTTTTCTAGATTTTCTTTTTTTTCAAACAAATAATAAAACTACTGACTAACTACTTTGTTCAAATAACAAGATTCATTAGATTTTTGCTAAAAAGTGAATACTAATCTTACGGTGATTCTAACGCTTCTCACTTTCTATCGAGTATATCTTCATAGATTCTGGCGAGACTTTGATTCGAAGGAAACTTTTCTTGATTATCTCATTAAGTTCCGAGATACACAACTGTCTCACCAAGTTCCGAGACACACAGGAGTCTCACTAAGTTTCGAGACATACAGAAGTCTCACCAAGAAGAGACTGTACTTGATACATATACGTACATAATCGAAGTGATATATTGTCTTATTCAAGCTTTTGAAGACTAGTTTTAAACTGTCTCATTCCATTGTCTGTATAGTATTAAAATAAAATCAACTATATCGCAGGCACTCTCTCAGTTAATTCGAAAAAATGCCAAAACTGAAAAGAAGATCTATCTCTCAGAAAAATTCCGAGCTTGCTATGAGAATGAGAGAAAGAAGAACTGACGATGAGTTTCGTTTGTTAGAAAATAGAAGACGAGCAAGTTCCCATAAAACCGAACGGCAAGATGATGAATTCAAAACAGAAGATAATAAACGACGAGCCGAAGCTCTGAAAATTGCACGAAAGGATGATGAATTCAAAACGGAAGATAATAAACGACGAGCTGCAGGTCATAGGATTGAACGACAAGATATTGAGTTCAAAACAGAAGATAATAAAAGAAGAGCCGAAGCTCTGAAAATTGCACGAAAGGATGATGAATTCAAACAGGTGGAGAGAAGAAAAAATGCGTTAAGAATACACAACAATAGAGAAAAATACAAAAATAATTTTGATACCATGAAATCAGACTATGAATCAAAAATAAAAGAAGGGCCTACCCATATTTGTAGTTGTTGTGGTGGTTTATGGTTTGAATATTCAATCAGAGAATATACAGTTGAGATGTTAACAAACAAAGGATTAACCAAAGAATTTATCGACACGGTTTGTTATCTAAAACATGCGCTTATTAAATTATGTGCCACTTGTAGAAAGGACATTATGTCGAAAAAAGTACCTAATCTCAGTCTTTCAAATGGTTTAGTATTCTATGAAGTACCAGATTGTTTAAAAGTCTTAACTGAGTTAGAAGAAAGATTGATATCACCGCGAATTCCTTTTATGGCAATTCGAAGTTTAGGCTTTTGTAAACAATTTGGTCTCAAAGGCAATTTAGTAAATGTTCCCATGAACGTTGACACAAATGTGTCAATATTGCCTAGAAGCTTTAGTGATACTCATACGATTCAGTTGAAGCTCATAAGACAAATGAAAAATAAAAATGCTTTTATGTATGAAACTATTCGACCAAAAGTTGTGCATACCGCTATAGCATATCTTGTTAAACAGGAACTGTATAAAGATGAAGGTATCGTTATATCTAATGACTGGATTAAGGAATATTCTAATGAAAGAGAAAATTTCATAGTGAATAACGAAGATAAAAAGGTTGACGTGCATGAAAAGATGACAGAAGATGTTGATCAAGATGACGATTGGAATGAATGTGACGACAAGCCAATCAATCCAGTTGCTACTGAGACGTTGTTATATGATGAAAGCGAAGATCGAAATGATACTGGTATTAAGTTTGCTCCAGGAGAGAATAATAGACCTATATCGATCTTAATGGATTTGAAAGTCGATGAACTGACATTTCCAAAAATCTATTGTGGAAAACAACGGAAAATCAAAGAAAATGTCAAACTGACATATGCTAAGATCGCTAAGTCAGAATTGAGAATGTTTGATAGGAGATGTGGTCGAGTGTCAAAACTCTTTTTCACATATAAGAAACTACAAACAAGAAAATTTGCTGATGCTATTTCAATTAATTTGAGAAAAACCAAAAACACGAAAAATGTAACTGTTGCACAAATGCTCAATCGAGATTACGTAAATGGATTAATACATGGTGATGATGCTTTTACATTCTTGAGATTTGATCGATCTTCACCAGCGTTCTGGGAATTGAAAAAGAAAGAAGTTATGGCCATGACTAGGCAGTTAGGATGTCCAACGTTATTTCTAACCTTATCAGCAGCAGAAACACAGTGGTCGGAACTTATTGTCATGTTGACCGAAGTGTTAGAAAACAAAGTAATAACATTAGAAGAAGCAGAGAATATGGACTATGAAAAGAAATGCGAATTGATAAGAAACGATCCTGTAACTTGTGTTCGCTATTTTGAACACAGATTAAAATGTTTATGGGAAATATTATCAGCTCCTTGCGGTCCATTTCAAGAATATGAATTAGTTGACAAATACGTCCGAATTGAATTTCAAGCTCGTGGTTCACCACATGTTCATGCTTTGCTTTGGTTAAAAAATGCACCCAAATACGATAAAAATGATCCTGAATCAATTACGAGATGCGTGGAATTTATTGATAAATTGATTTCTGTTAATGCTAAGTCAACGGAATTTTCTGAAAAACTTATTTGTTTGCAACGTCATAAGCATTCATTTACTTGTAAAATACGTGTAAATGGTGAAATCAAGTGTCGATTTGATATTCCATATTTTCCCATGAGCAAAACAATGATTTTGGAACCATTAGGTGATGATGAAACGCTGTCTAGAAAGAAACGTGAAGAAGTCACCTTATATAGACAGAATGTAAAGAAAGAACTTGACAAAATATCGAAAGATAAAGATAATGTATTAACTTTCGAAGAATTCTTAAATAATATTAATATGAATGAAGAAGAATATATTCAGATGATTCGAGCTGGATTGAAAAAGCCAAAAGTATTCTTGAAACGTGCTCCAAATGAGATTCGAATCAATGCCTATAATCCACTGATAATGTCATTGCATCGGGCAAATATGGACATTCAGTTTATTCTCGATCCTTATGCGTGTTTAACATATTGTGTTGATTACATCAGTAATTCTGAAAATGGAACGTCTAAGCTACTACGGGATGCATTGAATGAGCTAAAACAAGGTAATAATACAGTCAAAGAACGTCTTAGAATTATTGCAAATAAGTTTTTGAATTCTAGCGAAATCTCAGCACAAGAAGCTGTTTATCATATTTTAAGTATTCCTCTTTCAGTCAGTAGCAGAAGCACAATATTTATTAATACGAATAAACCAGAAAATAGAATTTCTATGCTCAAGTCAGATGAAATTCTTCAAAAACTAGAGTCTGATTCAAAAGATGTTTTTGTTGAAGGTTTGATTGATATTTACAGTAATAGACCTGACGAGATGAAAGATGTCTGTCTAGCCGATTTTGCTTCGTTATACAATGTGTCAAAGAGAAAAATTGGTAGTACTGAAATTGTGGAAAATTCTGATGATGAAAATAACACAGAAGAAGTTGATGAGAGAGCTATTGTTTTGAAGATGAAAAATGGAAAAGGTTGGATTAAAAAAAGAACCAAGAAAAAGATAATAAGATTCAGAAATTTTAAATTACATCAAGATCCAGAAAATTATTACAGAGAACAGCTCATGCTATTTTTGCCATGGAACAATGAGGAAGAAGATCTCATTTACATAAATCATGAAGAACAATTCGAACTGTATAAAGATTTAATTCAACAAAAAAGATCAGAATATGTTCATCGTGAAGCTAATGAATTTGAGAAGGCTTTAGCAGAGAGTAAAGAGAGAGAAAATGAGAATGATATCGACGATACAAATATCGAGTATGATCAAGATAAGAATGAATTTCTCATCTATGAAATGGGAAATAATGAAGGCGATATATTTCTCGAAATGGGTCTAAATACTCGAAGTGAAAGAGTAGAACATTTTAATGTTCCGAAACAAATACCAAACACTGAATATGAAGAAATGATGAGAAATCTCAATGATAATCAAAGAAAATATACCTTAAATGCAATGAATTTGATTAAAAATAGCGATAAACAATTTTTTCATTTCATTAATGGAGGTGCTGGTGTTGGCAAAAGTACTTTGATCAAAGGAATGTATCAGTCATTGCTGAGATTCTTCGATTCACTTCCAGGATCTAATCCACAAGCTATTCGAATTGCAATATGTGCACCAACTGGTAAAGCAGCAGCTTTACTTGACGGAATGACATTGCATTCATTTTTAAGTTTACCAATTAATCAATGTAAGAGTAAACTTGTTAAACTAGATAGTGATCTGTCAAATAGAATTGGGGTGAAGTTAAAAGAATTGCAATTATTAATAATTGATGAAATATCGATGGTTGGCTTTACAATGTTTCAACATGTCGATGCACGCTTGCAGCAAATCATGAGGAACAAAAAGCCATTTGGTGGAATATCTGTCATAGTTCTAGGCGATTTCAATCAACTAAGACCTGTTGGTGATAAATACATATTCCAGTATAACAATTCATATAATGCTTTAGTAGATAATCCATTATGGACTCTATTTGAATTGTTCGAATTGACAGAAATAATGCGCCAAAAAGATGATAAAGCTTTTGCCATTTCATTGAGTAATCTTGCAAAAGGCATGATGACAGTTGAAGATATTAATCTATTTAAGTCACGAATTATTTCAACTGAAAAAGTAGATGTTGTCGAAGATGCAATAAGAATATTTAGAAGTAATGCTGAAGTTGATGCATACAATACAAAAGTATTAGCTAATCTTAACACCGAAGGCGCAACTGCTAAAGCTTACGATTTTTGTGTTGGTGATGGATTAGCATCAGTAAAAGAGAAAGTGTTGAGCAACGTGAAAAAGCTCAAAACAACCGAAACATATGGGCTACCACTTCAAATCGAATTGAAAGTGGGTGCCAAGTATATGATGACTGTTAATATTGATATCGAAGATGGTCTAGTAAATGGTGCTTGCGGGAAATTAGTTATGATTGACTACGGAAAACTTCAGAAAACAAATGAGGCAGTACCATGTAGATTATGGATAAAGTTTAATGAAGAGAAAACTGGTCGAAAAGCTAGAGCTAATTTTCAAAGTGTAATGCGATATAGAAATATTGATCTCAGTCTTACACCGGTTGAACCCGTTACACGGCAGATAAATACAAGGTCAACGAATTTCAAAGTAGAACGTAAACAGTTCCCAGTCGTTCCTTGTGAAGCTATGACCATATACAAAAGTCAGGGTGGCACTTACGAAAAAGTTGTTGTCAATTTGAAGAAGGGAATGACAAGATCTGAATTGTATGTTGCTTGTAGTCGTGCAACAAAAGCAAGTGGTTTGTATTTGATTGGAGATTTCGTTCCACCGAAACCGCCTGAACATAATGATACAGTAGCAATGATGTTTAAAGCAATGAGATCCGAAAGAAAGATCCACTTTTCACTTGAATTTCCTGAAGAATCACCGAAGGAAAATATTTATTTGATGTTTCATAATGTACAATCCTTGCATAAACATTTTTTGGATGTCAAATGTGACAGAACGTTTTTGTCTGCTACCATAATAAGTCTTGTTGAAACATGGACGAAACCTAGTGACAACTTAGAAATTGAAGGTTTTAAGATAGTTCACAGACGTGATTGTCATGACATCCGAAAACCATTTGGTCAAATTACTTATTTGAAGAACCATTTGAAGTATGAAGTTATCGCCGAGAGATATGAATATTCAGGAATAAATCATATCGAATATTCTTCAATAAAAATTGATGATCTTTGTCTCATTTCTGTTTACAATTCGCCCAATTCGGCATTTGATGTTTTGAAGCGGCATATTGATGAAGTCATTACTGTTTCTAAGCGAGCTTGTGAAAAGATAGTTATTGTTGGTGATTTTAATATAGATTTGAAGCCAAACAATAATCATAAATTTATTGATTATATAACATCGTTTGGATTTACTTTAATTAGTCAATTAAATAAAAATTCGACTAATGCTAAGACACAGATTGACTATTGCTTCGCTAATGTGAATGACTTGAAATCTGATTATTTTGAAAGTCTAACAAGTTTTCATAAACCAATATGGGTGACAAAACACGAAGTTTTGACTGAACTTCATCTTGATGAAACCGAAGACATTCATACTATTATGTCTTGCAATATTGACGATACTATAGATACTGATCACTCTGATGCAATGGAAGTTGATAATAAATTTGCTTTTGATCACCATGAAACAGTCGATGACAACGAACAGATTGACTTGGATATGTCTTTACAACTAGCAGATCTTAGCGTAAATGAACCATCTGATATGATGGAAATTGAAGAAAACTCTTCCTCAGAGAACTTTGAAATTATTGATTCCAACTCAAGGAAAATTCTTAATCGCTTTCTTGTTGAATTCAACTTTGATAATACTATCGAGACTAATCAATTTATGGGTCAAGTTCGAATAATCAGTGATCTTATTAAAAAATCACCGTTTATAACTATGCAAAATAAAGACAATTCTGTGCGGTTAGAAACAAGAGCGGAGTATCCTGTTCGAGCATTCGATTCAGTTTATACTCGGACACGTACGACTGGAGACGGAAATTGTTTATATAGTTCTCTTTCGATATTGAGTGTTGGATCTGAGAAACTAACACATTCGATGAGATTGTTGGCAGTTTATGCAGTAATAACTAATAGGAGCTATTTTCAAAAGCTGTGTAACACACTGGGATATACCTTTGAATAGCAGTTAGAAAGAACTGCCACACATACAATATGGGGAGGAGAAGTGCAAATTCAAGCTCTATCTATCGCACTATCTCGTCCTATATATTCATATATAAAGTTTAACAATAATCCAGACCCAAAAAACACACAGTTTATTCCGTCAAATATCAGTCTACACGAATTAATTCATCGATTTGATGAAGGGACAGCAGGTGGCCATTTAATATATCTTGGATATAAATGCGACAGAAAGAAAATAGGACTTTGTATTTATTACAACGGTACACATTATGATGCTCTTTTGCCTTTTCAAGCTAATCCTCCTCAGTTTGTACCACATTTCGACTTAATAAACATGAGTTTATAATATAGAGAAGGATTCATTGTAGATATAGAAAATCGATCAACATAGATTTTGCGTTTAATCAAGTAGTTACTTGTGTGGAACTAACTCCTCGCCACGTCCTACGGGACAAAAGGAGGGCATCCGCAGGGCCTAAGGGGTGGCTCCTTAGTGCGCTCAAGGATGATTTGTTTCGAGATTTTGATAAGCAAAAGCTCGGTGACATTGATTAAAGCAAAAGATTATCTGGGTGAACCTTACCCAACCCTACCTTTCCTCCTCTTTCTATCGGCTTCAACTTCACGTCGCCTTTTTTATATGTGTAGAAAATCTGAGACTTTTCTTTAAGTCAGTAGTAGCACAGCCGATCGGGCTCATCTTCGAATTTGTCTGCGACATTGACAATATACTGCTATCTCCTAAATTTCATGACAATTGGATTATTCTTTCGGGAGTTATCGGATCGACGACCAGACCGACCTACTGACCCATTCTACAGTATACTCACTTTTTGAGTACACAAAAACCAGCGTGCAAAGTTTGACAACCTTATCTGCCATAGGATCACTTGGATGATAACTCACCGACACCAACCTTATCCATATCGTTGCGGGCTCCCTGACAATCCATCTACCCTTCCATATGCCCACAAAAGTAGTACGGAGGGTTTGGCGTACAGTCTTGACACGAAATGGCGTGGGTGAAATTTCACCCTCACCCACCCATGTCGTCAACACCTATCATCCTCACTAGTATGCGAACAGTAGCTTGACGCTTTCTAGACATATGGATACAGCCTGCAAAGTTTCGCGGCCTTTTCAGTTATGGAACCACTTGGGTGAGATTCCACCCACGCCATCCTTACCCATCCTCATTACTGGTCCACTAACTCTCTTTCGATGTTTCCCTACATTCACAGAAGCTCTACGAAAGATTTCATGACTTTTTCTGATGCAAAATCGCTTGGGTGAAATTCCACCCAGATCTCACCCAGGTCACCTAGGCCTACCCCTTCACTGGCCAATCAGCATTTTTCTGGATCCAAAGAAACAGTACAGAAGGTTTCGTGGTCATAGTTGATACAACAAAAAGTGAATGCAAAGCGAACAAGCGGATAAACACGCAAATCTTCAAGTTTTTCATATAGGAATTAGAGAAAACTTTACCAAAAATCACCAAGAGTACAGCCGATCAGGGTCATCTTCGAACTCGACCGAGGCATTTACAAGATAATGCTATGTATCAAATTTCATGAAAATTGGATTATTCTTTCAGGAGTTATCGGATTAAGGGCCGGACGGCCGGACATACTGACCGATTCTATAGTGTACTCACTTTTTGAGTACACAAAAATGATCTAAAACAATGCGTGTCAAAAATACATCAGAACTTGTAAAAATAAAGTTTATGATCAATAGTAGATAGCACAATATGGCTTATTCAGATGTTACTTGCAATAAATAATGATAGTAAACGATACAAAGACCTACCAGAATTAGATTCTAGTTGAATTTCAAAGACTAACTTTAGCATACTTCTTGTGTTAGCGAGATAAAACTAAAAAAATGATAATATAATGTGTATTTAGGGTATCATGGGATTTTTCAAAAAATGCCTACTTTTTTTGAAGAGCAAAATTTTTTTGTCATTCTAGGTGATAGAACTTGAGGTCCTATACCACTGGTATAAATATTAGGGCGATTGCTTGTTGGCGCGTAAAATAAGAGTAGTCGACATTTAGGGTCGTCATAGTAGGGAGGAAAGCAATATCAATGTTCTTAATGATATTTTAGTTATTTTTACAAATGGACCATGGTCTCATATGCCTATCGCATCTACAAAACGCCTTTGTTCAAAGATATTCCATAAGAATCCCTGAGAAGTCGAAAAAATTCAAAGTTGATAAATATCGAAAAATCTGCTCGTGTATCGACTTTTTTGGTATGACGGAGTGATTCGATTGAGCTGAAAATTTTATCTGGTACTTACCTCACTACCACCTACAACATATAAAAAAATCAGCGAAATCTGAGATGTTCAACTTTCACGATCATCTGGTTTTCTCAGACACGTACTCTTAATATCTAGCCTTTTAGATGTGATTTTTCGTGCTAAACACGAATATGATATTTAATTTTAAAAACCAGTCGTGGTTGAGTAGGTAAAAGTAAAAAAATCTAAAATTTCTATAAGAAACAAGGATCGAAAATAGTGTAGTAGTCGGCAGTGTAGAGCAATTTTGGGGATCCAGCACAAACATTGAAGGACCATCAAATAGTGCAATCGGTAGCCCTATCTAAGGTGCAATTTCTGACAAGCACTGAGAGATGATCACCTCGTCTATAACTAGTAAGATTCAATACACTAAAACTATGATTTCCAATTTTTGATAAAAATAGCACCAAAGCTAATAATAAATCATCTTTCTTTTTCTATAATATTAGCTTGTAAAAAATATTAAGCATATCATCTTGTAGCACATGACAAACTCTATAAAACTGTATACATGAAATACTTTTACGAAGTCGTCCGACTAACAAGATGAATTAACATTGATTAGCTAATTGTCATCATTTTGGGGCTTAATCTATATTCAATAAATTCAACAGAACTCCCCCAAAACGTATTGAAAAATGGATTTCGTACATACCATTCGATGCGTCTTGACAAGCTCTACATGATGGCATACTTGGTTTGTCAATTCAGAGTATGCCACCGAATCCGACCGGGTCCTTTACAAAGAAATAAACGTTTCTTAGAAGATTCTGTAGGTTTCATTACATGTAGACCTCATTAATGAGAATTTTAAAAGCTAAATTTAATTATTGGATTTGTAACATCATAGAACAGGAATTATTTTCCAACTTCTCATAGTAAAATCTTGACATTTGTGTAGCACATGAAGATAGACAATATTTTATGCAGTACTGTTTTCTCATATAGTTTCGACAATTTCGATTATATTAAAATGGGTACAACTTAGATAATAAGTAAAATAATGAACTTATCAATATAAAACCTAAAGTACCAGTAATTAATCACATTTTTCCACTAAAATTATTGCATTTGATCAGTATTTGCCTTTCTATAACATCTCTCGATTGCCATATATATGTTGAACTACTTTTTTTTCATTGTTCTTTCTTGACCTGGTTTCAAGATTTTACATCTATTCAATATCTTACACTTATGTAATAGATAAACATATTTGTGTGACTACTTTTTAGTTTGACAAAGAGTTAATTTCATAAAACATTTCCTTGATCATTGTTATACTTATCTGTATAGAAATGTTTCATTTTAAAATCAGACTAAACAGAAAACTCTTTCACGATATATCACAATATCTGATTGGACTTTCCATGGCAACAACGACGGAAGTTGTTGAAGTACCACCTTATTCCCTCGACTGAAAGGAGGCAGAGATGTGCGGGTCACGGGTTTCACCTCGCGGGGCCCCGTGTTTACGAGCGGGCGGGAAGAGTTTGGGAAAATATTGTTCGGGATGATCGTAGTACAGATGATGTAAGGTTACGGACGGGTTGGGACGGGTGCAAATGGAAAAAATTGGTGCGGGCTTCGGACGAGCGAGAGAAGATTTTCACGGGTTCGGGCAGGCTGAAAAAATGTGCGGGACAAAACAGTGGATTGACAGAAATAATTGATAGATTTCGCTATTACACGCATGTACTGAGAATTATATTGATTAGTTGACTATTCCAAATCTATCATAGTAAACTTAATTCGTTCTTTGTTTGAATTGTTTACTGTTTCTTTCGTTAAATTCGATCGGTTAGGAATATGATCAACTGGACGTAGATATTTTTCAATTTTAGAAATATACTTTAAATTTGTTCATTATTCCTGACTCCTATAATGATTGACCTTCATAATTTATTATCTGGATGATGAAATTGATAATCCACTTCTTTTCTGGCGAGAACATGCAAACATATTATCTAATTTATCTAAATTAGCAAGGAAAACATTTAGTATACCTGCTTCTTCAGCTGGTGTAACTACATCTCAAAGAAGAGATAGCATTCAGCCACCATTAGTAAATGATATGATACTGGTTCGATCAGGTGTTACTATGAAAGTTTTTTATGTTCAATTAATTATTCAGGCGAGAGTTAGGCGATTCATCCTCGACGAGCATTATTTACACAGTTTATTATGAAAGTTTTAAAATAATCTCTATGACACTATAAAATCCTGTCTTGTTTGAATTTGTTTCGACGTAAATTAAAATGTGATAAGCTAAAAACTGTATTATAACGCGTATGCAGTAATGCAATTTCGGTTATTGTGAGTAGTTTCACAGGCCGAAACCATTTTTCAGTGCTAGCTCTTCAGTAGAGAGCTCAGTGAGTGTATCTCAACGAGCGTTACTTGTTACTTAAAGAGAAAAACATGACTTAAAATGAATGAACAGATGAGATTTAAACTTGTAAGAAACATTTTGTTTCGTCTGGAAAACGACAGAATATTCTGACGGAACAGGATTCTCTTTTGCGTCAAAACTTTATTGATCATGGGAAAAACATCAAATATTGAAACGGAAATGTTTGTTTTTAAAAGCTAGTTAGTAAGTCAATAGATTGTATTTTTCCATTGTGCACATTTATAATTCTAGAAGTCTCCATTTTCAGTGTGCACAAAAGTGAATACACCACTAGAATCGGCAACTGTGTTTATCAGTCCATCCATTTACACGATAAGTTACGAAAAAAAGTCAGATCGTGCCGAAATATTTTTTGCACAGTGCAGTCTCATTAATATCTTCGTCGAGTTCAAAGAATGAGAAGGATCTAATGAGAAATAGCTGAGGTACTGGAAAATTTTTCAATTTTAACTTGTTTATTCTTGAAAGGAATTACGAAGACTTTTTCAAAAGAACTTTTTTTCTCGAAACGATTTGAAACATGTATTGATCAATCCAGTTATTAACACTGATTCTGAATTTGATAAGACTTTTAAAGTATATCGTAGTATTTCTAACTAAAATTTATAAGGAAATGTTTCCAATAATGAAAAACTCCATTCTGACATCAATGCTACTAGAGACGTTTCTGAATGTATACTTTCGCAGGTGGTAACAAGTGATTAAAAGTTATATTCTTCCAAAGGTTTCTCATGATAATTTTGATGTTCAGATACCTTCACGATCGCTCATCTTTTTCATACGCTTTTTGCAGTACGCGTAACTTTCGAATAAGATCTGAAATTTTCGCATTTATTCACAAATATAATAAAAGTAACAATAATAACAAACATTTAACTCCGTCATTTCTCAAGCATCTGGCTCTAAATAAGGAACAGTTATTTGTTCAGGCATTCATTGACGTCAATGGTAGGCAACTGTAAAATCACTTTTCCACTTCCAGTTCCGTCTATGATAGAAAGCTTGCGATAAAGACTCTTTAGTAAATGAATGCTTGTTCACAACATTTTGTTTACGTCATCAAAGTCTCCTATTTTAATAAATAAATGTGGAAACTTTGAATTTCATCCAGAAGTTTTATGTATCACAAAAAGTGTATCAGAAAGCATCAGAGACATATCATAGTTTTTGCAACTACTCAGAAATGACTCATTTAGTGAGGCTTACCCTTGGACTCGATTAACATTTTCATGAGACTAAACTGTATAGAGAATTTCAATCTGTTTTAGTAAGTTATCGCGTGAACAGAGAGACGACCACACTGGCTGATTCTAGTAGTATATTCACTTTTTCAGTACAATAATAAAATCACGATTGAAAGATCTGATAACACTAAATGAAATCTAATAGTAACCATTATTTCGTTATTTTTTATTCAGCAGATTGTTTTATTTAATGCAAATTCACGTAGAAAAATATTGATTGTATGGTATAACCTTTTTGCCTAAAGTTTGTTTGTCAAATATATGAATGGTTGCCGGCGAAATGCTTAAATACTTCTGATCTTTGAATATAGATTGAGAGAAGGCAAGTGATTTGAAATGTTCTGATAAGACGTAGACGTGATAGTTTTTCGCGTAATGATACAAAAGAAGAATTACACAAATAATGATGAAAACAATATAGGCAAACAATAAAATATTCACTCTGTTCTACTGATAAATACGAACGATGATCAATTGACTTTAAGCTTAGCGTTTTATTCCGTTTTCAAGTTTCACTAATGATTCAGTATCCTTTCTTGTCGACAACTAATTCTGAAGTCTCTCAAAATACGCATTTGAGAACGAGTAGATATTTAACTTTCTCTCTCTCTCAATATGATATTTTAGAGAGATGTTAAACGAGAGAACAATTAGAGAGCATAGCCAAGAGATTGAGAAAATATATAGAGAGAGGAAAAGAAAAGAGGATATGAAAAATATAGTGTATCAATAAAAAAAAGTTATAAAAGGTATCAAAAAAAGAATGTTCATTACTTTTGTGGCCACACTTATAGAATGCTGGTTCAGAACTTTCAAGCCTGAACATGTCATATCTCAGACAACGACAGGAAACGCAAAAATAGTTGTGCTTGAAATTTATTATTTATCGCAACAATACATCTTGTCGTGTATGTCAGTGATGGAATAACTTGTACTGTGTAGCCATCTGAATCCAGTCGTTTTTCTATAGTTCTTACTGCAAAACCTATCTACACTACTCTCCTTACAACCGCATGCTTTTTCTTACAGATGCCGTTTCAAATCCATCTTCACTTCAATTCAGACGTGGAAAACTTTAGGCTCCTAGTTAAAGTTTCATCTATCGCGAATTTATACACATTCACGACAAAGCTCTTAAGTCCAGAGAATCTTGTATCAAAGTAAGTTTTTTACTTCTGGGTCGCTCTCGTTTCCGTATGACACAATTAGATCAGTCCAAAATCTTGGTAATAGCTAGGCACTAGAAAAATCGATCGTATGAATAATCCAAAATGGCCTGGCATTTCACATGATTCAACAGAAGCGAAAGAATCTAGGAATTCCCTCTTTTCCCATTGCATTCCCCTCTATACACGAATGTATCATCGGTATCTTGACAACCTCAGCCATTACGTCATCGTCTAAGTGAATTGTTAGTCGACTACCCTCTCTCTTTTTCTCAGCTCTGAATAGTATCATCAGCACACTCTTCATCGTCAATTGAGCTTAAGCAAGTGCTATTGAAAATTGGGTGAACTTTCTCTTTGAGATCGGCCTTCCTCACCTCCAAGAATTGTCACTAAGTTTCTTTTAGTCTTCCATTAGACTCAGAAAACTACCATAATAAGTGAATTATCATGAAAACTGGCTTGCATGTATAAGTGAATGGGTATAGAATTTCATCTAATGCTCTCTCGCCGGGTCTTCATTAAAAATTTTTATCCCTTTGCTCTCTCCCTTAGGATCTATAAAAGTATTATGAAAATTTCGGCACTAATACCTGTAATAGAAACCTAGACGAGAGTGTAACTAGGTCTGGGTGAAATCTCAATCACGTTCCACAACCCCATCCGCAATCACTACTCCGACCCCTCGTTCACTTTCTTTGGGATCTAGGGAAGAACTGTGGAAAGTTTGATACTTCCTTCTTCATATATAATATATAAGATTTATTAATTTTAGTTGAATGAGTTAGACATTTGTAGCTTAGTTTCCGTTATCAAATCATGTTAGTAAACTGAAACTCCGCTCGATTTGTTGAATCTCACTCTTATGGAATATTTATTCTCAAAATACGAGTATTGTGTATCGGTTTCGCTTTTCTAGATTTTCATTCTTAAGAACAGAACATTTGAATCGACGATCAACAATGCAAAACAACAAAATAAATATTTCTGACGTAATCTACTCAAAATCAAGTAAAAATGATATGATTACAGTTGTGTTTAACTCTTTTAGTCTTCAACTGATGTTTCTCACTCAAAACAAATATCAAACACCGAAGTGCACTCACCGTATGTATATAGACAAAGTTCCAATAAAAAAAAGAAAGTTCAATCATTTTAGATGTCTAAACACTAACAGAAAAAAATTCAAATATATGCTATTCGCCAGTGTACTTGTTGTCATACTTATAGTAAGTATTACAATTCCACTAGTTCTTCGTGCAAAGGAAACTAAAGATGTATCAACTTCGACAAATGTGGAAACATCAACGACAATACCTCTTTCAACGGCAATACCTCTTTCAACGGCAATACCACCCTCAACAACAATACCACCGTCGACGTCAACAGGTATTCAGTGTTTAAGCATTATTGCGCAAATTTTTGGGTTCTGTCAAAATATATTTGACTTCTATTTTCCACATTAGTTTATTCATCAGCGTTGACATTATCAAGTGCATTATATGTCCGTGCTAGTTCTTCTTGGCCAAATGCTAGATTTCGTTATCAAGCTATTCGAGCTCAGGTAGAAACAACTAGCTACTATAAAATATTTTCAAACAGTACTATGGATATGCATGGATACATTTATAATGGTCCTTTCTATTCATTATTTCCATACAAGAATTTACTGTTAGAAGATGCAGATACTGCTGGTAATGGACAATTCAAATTTGATGTATATCTTGTTCGTCACATGCAATATATCATCGTTGTAACAACATATGAAGCAGCTATGACAGGAACATATTCACTGATTGTATATGGGCCATCATCGGTTTCTCTTTCCTTAGGTAAGTCAACATTATTTTTAAAATAATTTCTGTGACGATCTACACTCTAAAAAAATTGGTACTCTACTAAACTTCGAAAAAAGGTTTCGTCATTACGAAAAAGACTTGGAACACGATCACAGTTTTAAAAACACAATAAAAAATTCTGCGAAACCATTAAAGGATCAGATCGTGTATCGAGTTGCAGATCCTTCTCCTACGAAATCTTTTTCCAAGTTCAGCACATCAAAAATAGGTTTCGAAGGAAGCTACGAAACTTTTAGAGTTTCATGCGGAAGTCGAATGGTTTTGTATTAAACCTTATTATTTTATGGAGCTTAATGCGAAACCTATTTTTGATGTGGAGTGTTCTTTTAATGATTTCGTAGAATTTTTTATTGTGTTTTTTGAACTGTGATCATGTTTCGAGTCTTTTTTGTAACGACAAAACCTTTTTTGGAGGTTTGTTAGAGTACCAACTTTTCTTAGAATGTAGACGCCCACACTCTAAAAAAAATAGGAGTTTTATCGAACCTGTATCGAGGTTAAGATCCTTTGGGGTTTCGTATCGATTTACTGAACCAAAAAAGGTTTCGTATTATGTTCGCCAATCAATTTTTTGGTTCAGCAAACTGATACGGAACCCTAAAGGATCTTAACCTCGATACAGGTTCGGTAAAACTCCTATTTTTTTTAGAGTGCATAATCAGTTACATGAGGGCCCATGGATACTCGAAAAATGGACTACATAAGGACAGTGGATAGCGCGAACATGCGCGACTTGAGGCCCCGTGAATATCTGCAAAATGTGCCACATGAGAACCCATGAGCTCCCCCGAAATACCTCATAATATGTTTTTGATACTTGACCCCGTGCAAAGAGAGACACAAACTATTTTTTGGTCAAAATTATCGTCCCTACAGTCGAGGGAAGACGAGAAACATTCATAGATCATTGCAAAGTAACCACTTGTAAAATCGATTTTCCATATCATTAAAATTTAAGCAAAACTATTGAGTGAATTCCCAGGGATCCATTCACTTTGTTTTGGGGACCTTTTCTTTTCCGTTCAAATTGCCGGTGTGCTTTGCAAAACACATCTGATGAAAGAAAATGCGGCCTTTCTATGAAAAATGCCGAGCTTTCGAACAGTTTTACATTCACGTTTAGTGTGTTTTCATATAAAGAAAGTGATAGGGAAAAGTCTAGAACTTCTAAAAAAATACTTTTATCACGATGCTTAGAGTGTCGACGTGACTTAGAATTTGAAGAGGTGAAATGAGAGTGTGGGTGGACGTATTTGTAAATATGGTACTGTCATCTTCACTCACTCACCACAAAGAGATTTTGCTTTCCAACAAAAAATATTTCTTTCGGATTTTATTGGAATCATTTTTTCCAGAATGGATACAAGCTGAAAATATGTATGACGCACGATGTACTCATACAGCATCAATGTTAGCAAATGGAAAGACTTTAGTTACTGGAGGATACGGTAGGGATGCTTTTCTCAACAGTGCTGAATTATATGATCCATCAACAGATAACTGGAAAAAAACAGGAAATATGAATTTTGCACGACAATATCATACAGCAACAGTTTTATCGAATAGAACAGTTTTAGTTGCTGGGGGATTCAATGGCAGTGGTTCTCTCAACAGTGCTGAATTGTATTATTCATCGACAGGTAACTGGGGAAAAACAGGAAATATGAATTTCGCGCGGAAACATCATACGGCAACAGTTTTATCAGATGGAAAGACTTTAGTTACTGGAGGATACACTGGTAGTGGTTCTCTCAATAGTGTTGAATTATATGATCCATCAACAGGTAACTGGACACAAACAGGAAATATGAATTTTGCACGACACTATCATACAGCAACAGTTTTATCGAATGGAAAAGTTATAGTTACTGGGGGATACAGTGATGTTGCTTTTCTCAGCAATGCTGAGTTGTATGATCCATCAACAGGAAACTGGACACAAACAGGAGATATGAATGTTGCACGATCTGCTCATACAGCAACAGTTTTATCAAATGGAAAGGTTTTAGTTATTGGGGGATACAATGATGATGCTTTTCTCAGCAGTGCTGAGTTGTATGATCCATCAACAGGAAACTGGACACAAACAGAAAATATGAATGTTGCACGAAAACTTCACACAGCAACAGTTTTATCAAATGGAAAGGTTTTAGTTATTGGGGGATACAATGATGATGCTTTACTCAACAGTGCTGAGTTGTATGATCCATCAACAGAAAACTGGACAAAAACAGGAAATATGCATAGTACACGACATGATCACACAGCAACAGTTTTACCAAATGGAAATATTTTAGTTACAGGTGGATGGATAACTTCTGGTATTGCCAGTTGTGAAATATACGAATAATTTGACAAGAAAAACAGAGCATTTTTCAAATAGAGCTTCAATGAAAAGGACAATAAAAGGGAAAATTTTTCAATAAATTTAAAATGAAACTGTTGATTTTAACTTAATTTGTCTTGTTTAATTTAATTTAGATATAAAAAAGCTAAAATATCTTTTAAAAAAATATTTTAATAAATATAATTCTCTTGTATTTTAAATTATTTGCTTCATTACAGAAAAAAGCAACTAAGTTTTACGAATAAGAAAACAGAGATTGATAAGGACAAGTTCAGATTTTGTTTCTTCGCATTTAAATAAAAAGAGAACGTAAAAGACTGAAAATAGTTTCAAAATAATGTTTTAACAATCGCTGTGAAGCTAGCACGACAATCAATTACGATCATTCTATAATTTACCAACCAGTATTTGCCTAGCAACCGATAATAAAACATTTACCCACCATCAAAAACTTTATCGTAACACCCCAAAAACATTCAAACGAAGAACCAACAAAAATCAACCATTTTCTACCGCAAAAAATCTTGCTATAGAAAAAACCTCAACAAATCTCTAAGAATTACACGGCAAACATCTCTCTATGACGGATTCTACTCTGTTTCTTCTCTCCACGCGTCCAAACATTTCCTCCCAAAAAATAATCATCCATACATATCGCTGTATCAGTTCCGCACCCGAGTAGCACCAAATGTTCTATCATCCTGCATTGCATGTTCAAGGGGTCCGTTTGATGTTCGGATCTCTTTCTCTGAAGTTATGCAATGCACTTATTCAATAGAGGGTGGGTGAGATGAGCTGCCATGACGCGTTTCGTCTTTTGCTCAAAAAGACTCATCAGATGGCTTGATATTTAGTATGATTCTGCTCAAAATAAACATTTTCAAAAGAAAAAAGCTTGTTTTAAACAAAATTCATTACTAAAAACAGTTATTCTGTTATAAAATCAACAAAAAGATAATTTTCATGAATTGTATTCGAAAATGTGGGAATTTTTTCGGGGTTACCTTATGTTTGTGGATTTCTTGGCTGTTGACCAGGTGGGAATGACAATATATGAGTGGAGATACCCGGAATTTGTTTTCTTCTGAATTATGAATTAGTGGTTATTGGTTTCATTTTCTATTATGGCCGATTTCGGCTGCAAGTGAAGACTGTTGTTTTTCCAGCTTGTAGGGTGTCTGGATGAAAACCAATTTCCACGAGTTAATGATATTGGATTGATTTGTAATCGATGTGAAATATTTTTCGATTGTATTTTTGTATAATTTGACATAATTGTTTGATATCCGAATTTGTTGTTTGAGGCATGTAGATCAGTTGAAATAGTGGTAATTTGTAGTTTAGAAGAAGAAGTATTTAACTTACTTGTGGAGCAGATGAAAAATGAATATTGTAATGGAAATGGTGCTGGTTTATATAGTCGTTGAGAGAAACTGAACTTTGGCCTTTTATGGGAAAGAATGTAGGTGGGAAAGCATTCTTCCCACTGATTTACATGATAAAATGTTTGAAAATTGGTATTTTAGACCGACGCATATATGAAGTATTCATTTTATGTACATGTAAAGATGCATGTGAATGAGAAAAGAACTTTTAAAGGGGGTGCTTCGAAACTATGCCCTTGCAACGTGTCGTTATTCAATATGAGATGAAACTATTCTTTCTCAAAGAAGGAATGCCAAGGCCGACCAAAGTGCAGTAGAAACAGCTATTATATAAGTCATGAGAAAAAAGTAATCACTCCTCATTCTTTTTCATAGTTGACTATATGCCAGTTGAATTACTTTCGCTTTTGATTTGGTCTCCTATATGGCCGTGCAAGCATCGAATATAGTGATGATAAATTAGTAAGTGTAATCTTAAATCTTGAATTAATTTTGCGAAGTCATTCCTTGACAGTATTTTTCATTTTCTAAATTCAAATATATAAAAATGCATAGATTTTAATTTGTATATTAGATTATATACAGAAAGACGATAAAATATCTATTTTCAAAGTTAAGGAAATACCTTAAATCTTTTTTAATCTTGGTATACGAAAAAAAGTAATGATTATTGTTACCAATTTTTGATGAAGAATATGTAAGCTAGACATTCATTTTTTAGCGCTTATTAGAAACGGTTATTAAAGCAAAATCAATCATTTGATCAAGAAATACTAATTAGTACCACTAAGACGTTCAATAGCATTGGATAGCATCTTTTGTCATTCTAGTGCTAATTTTACATGTAACATGTAATAAAAAGTTGTAAATAAGGATATGTAATGTTTTCAAAGTATACAATACAATATAAAACAATTTTACATTTTAACTATTTGGTTCAATAGCAGAAGTTTTGAAATAATGTGCCAATGTATCAATAATTAAGGATAATTTCATCATTACAAGTGAATATTCATCATTTTATTCATATTCTAGATCGAATTTCATTTTGAAACATGTAATTGCTCTTGTTTCAAATATTTTTTCAATTTTTTAAACTTTGTACAACAATAATTTGAATCTGGTATGTGTATAACAAATCAAATACTTTCAGAAAACAACAAAGCAAGTATATTGATAAGACGAATGAATAATTCTTAAACGTAAAAAAGCATTTATTACTTTAAAATGAAATAATCAAATGTCGTCTATTAGAACAAGACCATATGAAACAAATAAGCTGTATTATTGAAGAGAGCCACTTTGTGTTGATACATCATTTGTTTTAGTTGCATTATTTGGCTGAACATTTGTTGTTGATATATTCGAATTATTGTTTTCTTCTTCTTCTTCTTCGTCTTCATCATCCTCCTCATCATCATCGTCGTCGTCGTCATCTTNCTTTCTGAAAACATGGATATGTCGTAGACATCCTCAGCCGTTAATACGGTCGCTCCCAGCCACGTTTTCATACTGAATATGGCTTTCGTAAGTCTCAGACGCATTCGCACCGTCGTCCACCCTCACCCAGACTAATGTGAGACATGTAGACATAGATCTAGAAAATGTTTTAATATTGTCTTGAAATAATAACAACAAGGATCTTTCGGATTTTGAAGACGTAATTGGGTTAGCAAGAAGAATTCAAGTGAAAAATGCTGTTATGAATCAAAAATTGCATGTACGATAGGAAAGATGAAAAAGTGACCAGGAAATTTTGAGAAAGAAAGTGAGTTAAGGAAAGATAATACGTAGATTATATCTAGGGCAGCTAGGGAGTCGAACGGTGAAAGAAAAAAGTGTTTATCTTAATTAGAAAATGAGTTGATGCATTTTTAATCTCACTCACTCGACCAGTCGATTTGTGAACAGAAATCAACTTCTTTAATGATAAAGATATGCACTGATCGATCAAAAAGTAGTGTCCTAGAATCAGTTTTCAATCCTAAATCACAAGAAAAAACTTTCAAACCTATAGTAAATTTTTTCGAAGCCCAATCGTCAAAATCCTGGTAGAAAACCTGTTTTTTTGAAACCCTCGATTTTTGCAGTATTTTTCGATTTTCAGCGGGAAGAAAACTCTTTATCTAAATAAATCATACATATTCGGATGCAGCGCATCAAACTGCATCGGATTCCATAAAAAAATTCACTAAAAAAATTTTGCTCGAGTTTTGCATTAGCCCAACCTTAATAAATTTAAATTGATAATCATTACATGTACCATTATGTTCTAAGTGTAAATTGTTTGATGTTTTCAATGGATCAAAATCATTTTCGTAAATATATCCATACATATACATATTACTTTCACTTGCTATAATATATATACCTGTTGTAATTACATTAATTTCGAATGTTTCATAGTAACATTTTGGTATTTGACAATCTCGATATTACATTGCACTAGTAAAGGTAAATTCTGATGAATATTTTAAATGATTGTTGAGTGGTATTGCTATTCAAATAATAATAAAAAAAGAATATTTATAAGTTATTGTGAACTATATTTCATACTGATAGCATCAACTAAGAACATATTCACTTACTTTGACGTTTGATATTAATATTTTTCCATCCGATGAAATTGATTTTAAATTCGCCAATATCTTCAGGAGAATATGTTGTTACTACTAATATATAAGTAGTGTTGACATAAAGAGAAATTCTAAATTTAAACTGACGACTAGTTTTACTAATATCGTCATTTTCTGCAAGTAAATTTTCATGTGGAGCAAGTGGATTGAAATTACTTTCATAGATGTAACCATATAAATTAGTGTTGTTATTGCAATCGCTTAGTATAGTATAATAATAGGTCTCCGATACAAAGATCTCAAGAGCTTCATAATAAAACTTTTCAGAGTTGCAGTGTCGCAAATAAATTTGACTTTCAGTGTTCAGCACAGATTGATATTGTGAGTCAGTAGTCGATGATGTCTCTACAATATAAAGATTAAATTAATCATTTACACATTATCATACATGTATATTACTAAACTTCAAAATATACCACAAGTATTTTCTAAATATTGGAATTTTTGAATTCGCTGATTCCCTTGATCTATCACAAACATATTACCAAAACGATCGAAACTAACGAGGGAGGTACCCGAAGTGTTTAATCGCTTTAGAGTCCATACTTTGGGCATATCGAGGTGACATATAGATAACAACAACCCTAAAAGGATTTGGGCCCATGCCTCTTTTAGGCTGAGATATTCAATTTTCAAGTTTCATACGATAAAAGGAATTTTAATCCTATACTATGTATATTTCAAAACAAAAATAAGCTGTAAGCAGAAAATTCTATGATGAACTGGTTGCATCGCTAGAAATTAACTATGAAATTCAGAGTTTTTTTTCATTTCTGTTAATCAGAGAAGTTTTTTCTATCGTATTACTTACTATTACGAACACGATAACTCATAAATGACATACAGCAGATGCATATCATACGCATTCTTTCACGTTGTCTTGAAAATGATAATAATCAAAAGCTCGATATAAAGAACATGTGCTACCGTGTGATATTTGTTAATCGAAAGAAGTATTTTCATATAACTAAAAATATGAGTGATGCTAGAAAGATAGCGAAACTCTTGGTGGACCGAATTACTAAACGTGAAGAACCGAATCGTCGAAGAAAAAATCGTGCGTTCCCAATTAGAAATAATTGACAGCTTTAACGAATACATATCGTTTGAAGTTGATTCAGAAACAACACTCGATTTCAATCACGACGACGACGCATTTAGTGATTCCGAAGATGAAAATATGGACCCAGGTTTCACTATGACGCTTGCGACTCAAATGGAAGAAAGAAACATACATGGAAATCAACAAAGCATCAATTGAAGGCTGTTCCTTGCCAGCAGTATATATCTCGTTTTCGTTATTACATTGAACAGCATGGTACAAGACTAGAGAAAATACAAATTATAGATCATTTTGTATACGACAAATTCGAAGAAGCTCGCGAAAATGTTCTCTCTGTTCACCACCACGACTTGAAACGGTGGGCCCTTCAAAAAGCTGCTGAAGATTCGGTTCTCGATTTCAAAGCATCAAAACACTAGCTAGAGTCTTTAAACATCGTCATAATATTTGTTCGAGAAAAATTACGAAAATAGTGACCCGTCATCAAATGGCTGATTCTGATGCTATAGACGCGTCTGCCGATTCCTTTGTAGCAAAAGTGAAACAAGAAATGAGTCATTACACACCTGAAGAAATTCTTAATACTGATCAGGCTGACATCGAACTAGAGATGCACTCGACAAGAACTCTGTCGCATAAAGGTGAAGATGTTACTATAGCACGCGTAAGATCAAAGAATGCCATAACGCATTCTTACACCATTTAACCAATAATAACTTTTGCCGGTCAACTTCTCGGTCCTGTCTTTATTTGCTTAAAGGAACCAAAGGGAAAGATGAGCGATAGTGAGTTAACTTTAAAGTTTTCTTCTATAATATGCGAACGTTGTTTCTACTAGATATCACAAAGAAACTATTTGATGCCCCAAACGTGGTTGTAACGTGTAGTTCTTCAGGAAAACTCACTGGCTCTTTGATAGAATATTGGCGAGATCACGTTCTTCGCCCATTTGCTTCATCGAAATCTCTTCTAATTTCGGACTAATGGCCGGGTTAACGAGACTCAAAGATATACTCCGCTGTTCAAGGATGTAAGAGATTAGAGATACCAGCTCATACTATGTCACGCATCCAACCATTTGATGTCTATTTTAACAGACAATTGAATTCTCTTATTCATAATCAGTTGTCGTCGTCGTCTCAATTCGTACCTATGATCAAGTATGCATGGTTTGCACTAGGGTATATTGATCAGGATCCAGGAAGTTTTGAGGCTGTCAATGAAGTTTGCTTCAACGTTCGAGTTATCACTCGTTACGATTTATTCAATGCAGCCATTGTCAAAAATTACTGTGCTTTGAACATTTCTTTGAAGCTTACCACTATCATAAATAGATATCGACCTTTTCTAGGTTGATACCACAGATTTCTTAGAAATGACTTTTATTAAAATAGACAGTTCATCGATTACGAGGCTTCCAAGAAAATAATTCTGATTAACAGAAATGAAAAAAAAACTCTGAATTTTATGGTTAATTTCTATCGATGCAACCAGTTCATCATAGAATTTCCTGCTTACAGCTTATTTTTGTTTTGAAATATACATAGTATAGGATTAAAATTCCTTTTATCGTATGAAACTTGAAAATTGAATATCTCAGCCTAAAAGAGGCATGGGCCCAAATCCTTTTCAGAGTTGCAGTGTCGCAAATAAATTTGACTTTCAGTGTTCAGCACAGATTGATATTGTGAGTCAGTAGTCGATGATGTCTCTACAATATAANGGTCCGAATAATGTTAGTCTTAATCGTTTCAGTAAGTATCTCTGCGTAGTTTCTTCACATGTTTTCAACTTGTGTTTGAATGTTTAGGTCCAAAATCTAGTAATTGTATTGGTGGTGATCAATGTAGTTTTTATGTGAAAAGTATTGGTTTGACATTGGAGAATATTTTACATGATGAACTTCGTTCAAATAAACCTTTGAGTGATCAATCAATTTCGATTAAATTAAGTGCAGCTATAACAATAATTATGTTCATTGCAGGATTGATTAACAGTGCTTTATCTTTGTTAACATTTAAAAGTAAAGATACACAACAAGTTGGATGTGGATTATATCTTTTAACATCATCAATAACTTCTCTCTTAACGATTATTATGTTTACAATCAAATTTTGGTTTCTTGTTATTACTCGAATCAATGTTTCAATTATTCATCTATCTGTTTTTCAAGGAGGTTGTAAATCTATTGAACCTCTTCTTAAACTTTTTCTATATTTTGATAATTGGCTTAATGCTTGTGTTGCTATTGAACGAGCATTCCATGTTTTCAAAGGAATTAATGTTAATAAGAAGAAGAGTAAACGTACTGCTCGATGGATTATTCTTATTTTACCATTCTGTATCATGGGTACCCTTATTCATGAACCGATCTTCCGTAAACCGTTTGAATATCCATCAGAAATTCATAGAAATCAATCAAATCAAACGTATACGAATACAACTGATGAAGTAGTAACAGAGCGACCCGTACAATGTATTACTGAATATCCTCGTTTTATTCAAGATTATAATACAGTTATTCTGTTTGCTCATCTCGTTGTACCATTTATTGCTAATCTTTGTTCTGCTCTATTCATTATTTTTGGTACTGCTCGACAACGATCAAAAACTCAGAAAAGTCAAAAATATAAAGATCATGTTCGTACACAATTCAGTGAACATAAACAATTAATCATTAGTCCTATTGTTTTACTTATTTTATCATCACCACGTTTAATCATTGCATTACTTCCTGGATGTATTAAAATAACACAAAATTTATGGATATATTTATCAGCTTATTTTATTTCATTTATTCCAACAGTACTTATTTTCATGATATTTGTTTATCCTTCAGAAATGTATATGAAAGCATTCAAACAATCGGTAACTATTGGTTGTTGGCGATCTCATCAACAATAAACTTCGTTTTTACGATACAATATACCGAACTTATTGTCTAGAGGGCATAAAATACTATATCTTGATTTTCTTATTATTTGCTTCTTGCTTGTTCTCATTTTATTTCTATCATAAATAATCAATTTAATAAATATGAACTCTAAAATTGAATATTTATCTCGAGGATGTGAGTGACGGTTTCGAAAGCATTAACATTTCTTCCAAATCATTTTAGTATTAATTCAACATTTCAAATGCTTGTTGATAAATTAATGATTGAAGAATATTTGATCAATATAGCTTATGATTATTATTTTGATGAATGTGTATCTTTATCATGTATTTATTCATATATTGATGAAAAGAATCATATATCAAGAATAACAACTCTTTTTTTCACTTTATGGAGGATTAGTTCTCAGTTGTCAAGTATCGACTGTTATTATTATTAAGTTATTTCAACGAGGGTGTGGGTGTGACGACTTTTTCTCCCTATGATCCTTTTCAAAAAACCACGTCATTTGATAGAGAATTAACTTCTGAATCTAACACAACTATATTCAGACACAGTGCAAGTTCTTAGGCGAATCCGGACAAGAAATACTCGAATATGGGGCTATAACTTTACTTAGATTAAATAAG